TGCACTCCTGCACAACAGCTAATGGGTAACTTACCTGAAGATAGGTTGTCTATTACAATAAGACCTTTTCAAAAAATAGGTGTAGATTATGGTGGACCCTTTCTGTTAAAATCTTCTTCACTCCGTAAAGCTCCAAAAATCAAGGCATACATAGCCATTTTCGTGTGCATGGTGACCAAAGCTGTGCACATTGAGGTTGTTTCTGATCTAACAACTTCTTCCTTTCTATTAACTCTCAAAAGGTTCATTTCTCGACGTGGTAACCCAACCGTCATTTACAGTGACAATGCCATATGTTTTTCTGGTGCAAGAAACCAACTCTATGACTTATACAAATTCTTTCAAAATAAGTCAAATTCTCAAACCATTGTGGAATACCTTTCTGAAAATCAAATCTCATGGAAGTTTATTCCCCCTAGATCTCCTCATTGGGCTGGGATCTGGGAAGCTTCAGTAAAAAGCGCTAAATATCATATGCGTAGACTAATAGGCTCTTCTTCTTTCACTTTCGAACAGTTTTATACTGTCATGGTTCAAATTGAAGCCGTGATGAATTCAAGGCCTATCTGTGCCATGTCCAGCGACCCTTCGGATTACACTTTTCTCAGTCCTGGACACTTTATAATAGGCTCCAGCCTGACTGCGCATCCTGAGCAAAATTTAGAAAATATCCCGGAAAATAAACTATCCATGTTTCAGCAAATTGTAAAGGTACAACAAAGTTTCTGGAAAAAGTGGTCTGTTGACTACTTAAACCGCTTACAAAACTCTCCAAAATGGTCCCGACCAAGGGATAACATAAAAGTCAATGACTTAGTTCTTCTGAGAGAGGACGATGTACCTCCTCTAAAATGGCCTCTAGCGCGGGTGGTTGATACAATGCCCGGTCAAGATGGCAAAGTCAGAGTGGTCAAGTTAAAGACCATCAATGGCCAATTTACAAGGGCAATCACTAAAATTTCAGTTCTCCCTATGCAAGATAAAGAAGAGTAGGTTAGACCACAAGGCTCTAACGCCGGGGGGAATGTTGGAGAACTATATCTCCAAACCAATAATTCTATTTTGTATCAAATAATTCTATTTTCGCGTCGGTTACCTAAATAAATCCAGTCTACCTAGACCTTGTTTCTGAGAATGTTAATCCCCGCCCACAGCGCCTACGTGACGATAGACCGGCTTTTCAAAATGCATAAACAAAAAAATATTCCGGCGGGGCGAGGGAGGCGACCAGTCGACACCTAGAGTGATTTAGCGACTTTCGTACGGCTAACATCTATATTTTAAAGTTCGGAGAGGATTCTCCACGTTGCAGTTTACGCTATTGGCCGGGAAGCCGTAATATGTGAATAAGTGTTATGGTGTTTTCGCTTTCGTTCGCAAATTGTGATATTCAAATTAAGTTCCTACGATAAGTTACACACTCAAATTTTATAAGTTCTACTTCTTGCCCTTTCTTATTTAAATTACAGTTTCTTTCTAAACAAGTAATTGTTTTATTTCACTATATCAATTCAACAGGCCAGATAAAAGCAACTTTGAAAGTCCATTTTACTTTCTCTACTGAGCTGTCGAAATCTAGCGGACTAATTGGGTTTACAGCAAGAACAAAGCCGCTGAAAGAGACACTGTTGCATATAAGCCTCTCCATGGAAGGGATGTTGTAAACCGGCACCCTCCACACGTATTTTACTGTTATGGGTGATATGGAAAGTGAAAGCAGTAAAAGTAAACGACGTCCAAATTTCTCGATGGGAGAAAAAACTATTATATTCAATGAGTATTGTGGACTACGTGAAAGGAATAAAAGTATGTCGGTCAACGATGTGGTTACCCTATGTAGTGATTTGACTAAAGTTTTGACGAGAAGTGTATACAGAATTGTAAACAATTTTAAATAAAGTGAAGGCAAATTGAATGATGGACCTGTTGAAACCATTGAAACCAGAGGTAGAAAACGCATTCAGCTTGAAGATCATACCAAATATGCTATTCGGAGAAAATTCCATGCTTTCTTTTTTCGGGACGAAATCCCAACCTTACAGAAAGTTGAAGTTGAAATAAATTCCGATAATTCAATACCCAAAATATCACGACGTGTTTTATTGCGAACATTAGAACAAATGAACATTTAATATATAAAAAGAAGCAGGAATAGTGTTCTTTTAGAAAAATATGAAATTGTTTGGTGGCGGAGAAATTACTTACAAAAAATCCGACAGTATCGTCGTGAAGGACAAAATTATACTATTTAGATGAAACTTGGCTAAATGAAGGTCATACTGTCTCAAAGGTGTGGCAAGATTTGGAAATTAAAAGTCGTCGACAAACCTTCATTGAAGAGCTTTCATTAGGATTAAACACACCAGTGGGTAAAGGACAGAGGCTCATAATAACACATATAGGCAGCGATTCGGGTTTTTTGGACAACGGCTTGTTACTATTCGAATCCAAGAAAACCAACGATTACCATGAGGAAATGGACGCTCAAAGATAAAGGTTGGTTTTCAAATATTCTATCAAGCCTTGAAGCAAATTTTGTCGTTATGGACAATGTGTCGTATCACAATCGACGGTTGGAGCCATCACCAACGACTGTCTGGAAAAAAATATACCATTCGATGACAACATGTTGAAAGTACAATTATTAAACCTCGCGAGGATACATATACCCGTTTTCAAGAAATATGCAGTCGATGAAATGGCTCGTGCAAACAACATAATTGTACATCGCCTCCCTCCTTATCATTGTGAGCTGAACCCTATCGAGCTTATATGGGCTCAAATAAAAAACCAAGTGGCAAGGGAAAACTTGAGTTTTAAAATGGAGGAGGTGAAGTACTTGTTAGCTACTGCCATACAAAATGTCAAACCTAAGTCTTGGAAAAATTGATAAGACACACTATAAAAGAAGAGAAGAAGAAGAAGATAGAATGTGGGACTTAGACACAAGAGTGGACATTTCGGTTGAACTATTAATTATCAATGTAAATAATAGTGATCACGATAGCTCATCATCAGCCGACGAGTCGTCTTCATACGATGATTAATATTTTGACCTCCTGTGGAGGTCGAACCATTTTATTAAGATTACTTTCGTATGTAAGTAAGTTCTAGTTTTCAAACAAAAATACAATTTGTACCGATATACTTTGCTCTTAAAAAATGAATACTTCTTATATATATATATATATATATATATATATATATATATATATATATATATATATATATATATATTAGGTATATTCGATTAAATTTATTTTATTTAATTATAATATACAGAGTGGCCCAAAAGTCTGGAAACGGCTAATTATCTCGTAAAATGCTAATCATAATTGTACAAAATTTGAGGTACACCTATTTTGGGATACGGAGATTCCATATTTGATATTTACAATGTTGTCAGATTTGCCGTTTTTCTTATATTATTAGTAACTTTGGTTTTTCAAGTACATCACCCTGTATATTCAGTCATTATTGGAATCTCCTATTCAATACGAGTTCAACCATATGTAACACTTATGATTTTATGTAGTATGGAAGATCTTAAATACATAAAACCGAAGTCTGGCAACGCCTAAATTGTTTCAATACATTTTTTAATACTAACTATTTTCAAATATATTAAAACGTAACAATTGATAGTTTAGAACATTTTTTAACATAGTAGTTACGTTATTAAGTGTTCAAAATGTGCTCAATTTGTGAGTTGACAGCACCCTAATCGATGGTAGAAGGCGTCTTGTCTAGAAATTATTCGAGATTAATTGATAATTCGTTGCCTTAGCTCTGCAAGACTTGCTGGTTAAGTTTTGTAAACTGAATTTTTCAAGTATCCCTAATAAAAATAATCTTTAGGATTGAAATCGGGTGATTCAATTCTACCTTGTCTACCAATTTATCGTCCAGGAAATATCTCATCCAAATATCGCCGAACATTTACACCAACTATCTGACGTTAAATTTCTTTCGACAAAAATGACCCAATTGAATAAGTAACTACTATATCTGACCATACATTTAATTGTTGTGGTCTTTGAGTATGGTTTTCACGCATTCAGTCTTCGGTGTGAATTTACGTCACACCAGTACCTTAAATTATGTCGATTTACACTTCCACACAGTGTAAAAGTTGCTTCATCGGAAAAACATATTCTGTTAAACGAAATTTTAATAAGTTTCAATTTTATCCATCATTACCTCCGTAAACTCTAATCTACGACCAAAGTCATCTTCACTTAATTCTTGCAATAAGTTAATTTTGTATGATTTAAATTTATTTTTACGTAATAAACGTAAGACTGAAGAATGACCTACATCATGTACTTGTGCAACCCTGCCTGGTGATGTATGTGGATCTTCAACAAAACTTGTATCTGAAGTTTTGTTGTCATTGATAACTCGTTTCGGCCAACCTGATCGATATCTATCTTTTACTTCTCCATATTCCTCAAATCGCCTTACAGTTTTTTGTACCGTCGTCTTATGAATAGGAGAATCGTTTAGAGAACGGCATTTTAGAGAAGCAGTTTAAATTGCAGAACTTTTTGAACCACAACTACTGTCAATTTTAGTTCATAATTTAAATGGTAAACAAATGTCAAAATCACAGCATTCTCCATTTAAATATTTAAATTTATTAAAATCTACATGTTTTGCACTGTTTTATGTATTTAAGATCTTTCAGACTACATAAAATCAAGTGAACATATGGGTGAACTCGTACTGAATAGCTGAACCTATGTGAAATTCACACTGAATGCGTGAAAACCATACTCAAAGACCACAAAAATTAAATGTATGGTCAGTTATAGTAGGTACTTATTTAATTGGGCCATTTTTTATCGAAAGAAATTTAACGTCAGATAGTTGGTGTAAATGTTCGGCGTTATTTAGATGAGATATTTCCCGGACGATAAATTGGTAGACAAGGTAGAATTGAATCACCCGATTTCAATCCTAAAGATTATTTTTTATTAGAGATACTTGAAAAATTCAGTTTACAAAACTTAACCAGCAAGTCTTGCATAGCTAAGGCAATGCATTATCGATGAATCTCGAATAATTTCTAGACAATCATGGAGAAATGTGGTAGACGCATTCTACCATCGATTAGAGTGCTGTCAACTCACAAATGGAGCACATTTTGAACACTTAATAACGTAACTATTATGTTCAAAAATATTCTAAACTATCAATTGTTACGTTTTAATATATTTGAAAATAGTTAGTATTAAAAAATGTATTGAAACAATTTAGGCGTTGCCAGACTTCGGTTTTATGTATTTAAGACCTTCCAGACTACATAAAATCATAAGTGTTACATATGGTTGAACTCGTATTTAATAGGAGATTCCAATAATGACTGAATATACAGGGTGATGCATTTGAAAAACCAAAGTTACTAGTAATATAAGAGAAACTGAAAATCTGGCAACATTGCAAATACCAAGTATGGAATCTTCGTATCCCAAAATAGGCGTATCTCAAATTTTGTATAATTATGTCTAGTAATTTACGAGATAATTAGCCGTTTCCAGACTTTTGGGCCACTCTGTATATGTGTGTGTTTATATGTTCACTAAAAGTAAAAGTTCACTTCATGTAATCGGTAAGTTCAGAATTGGATTTTCCTAATTATGTAAATTAGTATATTTAAAATATAAGTAATTCCAATGAAAAGAAACCTTTCATTGAAATAACAGCAGGGTAAATCTCTCTACCTGCCTTTTTGATAATTAATTTTTTTAACAAACAAAAAATGTCATTAAAAATAATTATTGTTTGTCATTAAATGTCATAGAAAGTTTCTTTGTCTCGTATGTTTTGTACAAAATTATGGAATTTGAAAGTAAGTGTTTTTTTGTGATAAGAAGTATACACTCCAAAGTTAAATATAAGTCTCATATATTATATTAAGATTAATTTTTAAAAGTCACTGCAACAGTGTGAACGATACGCTACTGAATGCTAAGCTAGAAAGTCAATGAACAATTTATCTCTCTCTATATTATGACATGACAACGTTGATCTATTATTCCTTTCTACTGGTCCTAGAATGCGATGTTGTCATGTACGACTTTTACAAACGATCATTAATATGATCATTTTGCTGCATGTCAATGATTAAATTATAAATTGCTAGAATATCTATCATTACAAACTGACAACGATGTTGTTGCTTTATCGAATTCACAGTTCGGAAAATTTACTGCCTACAAATTTGATTCTCAAGTATTTTTTATAATCTTATCGTTTTTATATAAAAATAAACTTAAAATTATTTTTACAGCAAAAGGAAATGTTGGTGCGAAAACAGTTCAGAGAAACTTGCAAGGTACAAACCAAGCAATATAAAGCTTTAAAAGCTCAAATTCTTTTGAATACTCCAAAAGAAAATCAAAAAGTAGTAATTAAGAAACTGAAGGAGGAACAAAGAAGAAAACTGGCCCTCTTAGGCGATCAATATGAACAGAGTATTGCCGAAATGTTACAGAAACAATGCATTAAGTTGGATGAAAGCCAGGAAGTAAGTCATTGAAATATTTTTCGTCAATGTTATTTTTTAATGTCTCTAAGTTGATATTTTATTCAATGTGTTTAAATAATAATTTGTTGTGAAAAACTTTATAAGTATACACCGGTTGTCCTATAGAAGGACATCACATATATCGATACATCAGTTCAATAGTGTAATAAGTTCAAAATTGCAATATTCGAAAAAATAAAGAACTTCGAAATTCGAGAAAATAAATATATTTGGTACGTGGTCAATGTAATTCTTTTCTACCTATTTCTTAATAGAGAAACAGCCATGCTTTTAGGTGAAAATTTTGAGGCTGGTTTTTGTACTCTCAGGATGATATCAAATTCTGATCATTTTGTATGTTTATTGTGTATGTATTCTGTGAATTTGTTTATGAATTGTGTGTTGTATATGTATTATATATAACGGTAAGTGATGTGTTTATGTCTATGACTTTGTAATAATCCGCTAATGTTTTATAAAATAATGGTTTATTCTTGCTGCAGACTTCTTTCAGTATTAGCAAACAGAGCCTGCTAAATTTTGCTGATAGGTTTGCTACACATTTTCTTCATTAAGTGGGGTGAGAGCTGCTTCTTTGATTTTTCTCTTTTATTCTGTTTTTTTATGACTTATAAAGCTTTAATCCAGATTTATGTATCCACTTGTGACATCATTCCATTGACAAATTTAATCCAGTTTCATGATTCCTTTCAACTATAACTTGCCCTAGATTATTCGACCTTTTTATATTTATAATATTTTTTATTAGTATTTGTATTATATAAATAATTATAATATTATTTATATTATTCAACTTTTTTTGCAAACTTTTACTAATATTCTCCTATTCCTGTCAGAAACAAGTTTTGAACGACCCTGGCATTTTCCTTTTTTATATACTTCCCTTTCCCCACTGTAGTTTTAGAAATATTAAGTTCATTCTCTACTTCACGGATTGTTTAATTGCAGCAATAATTTTTAATCACCAACTCAAAATTTTTCGAATTTGTAGAGATACCACGGATCATTTTACTTCAGTTACTTCATACTGTCCCATTATTTAGTTGTCAGTAATTTTTACATATTTTGATGATCCTTATGACTTTAATTGGTTAGGTGGGTTAGAGAGATCAGAATTTGATATCAATCCGAGGGTACAACACCTCTCAGAATTCAATCAAAATATGTCTAATGTTTACAAGATCGATGAGAAGTAAGTCAACTGTCAAATTGATGTTTCCATTGAGCGATGATTTGAAAATATTTATAGGTTAAATTTCTTTGATAATTTTTATTTTAAAGACTTTTTTGAAAACGATTTCTGAATTGGAAATCGTAACTTAATAACAAATGTAATCTTTGTTATTGGGTTATGATATTATTTATTGAAAATATTGTTTGTTTGTAGCTTCAATGTCAACAAATGAAGGAGAGGTTAAGATATGAACTGGAGATTTTGATAGCATACCAGAGTAAAAATAAAATGCAAGCGCAAGCACAGAGAGATAGGGAAAAAAATGAGTTACAGGAGAGGGTAGCGGTGAGAAAATCTCTTCTCGAACAAAAGGTAAGAATTTTAGAACCAAGGCCACACTAAGACAAATATAATGGTATAATTAAGAACATTGATCGACTATAGATCAACCAATTTTTAACTTTGTTTTTTTTAGATGACTGCCGAAAATCAAAGGTTCGTGGATGAAAGGGGGGAGAGAATAAGAATTCTTCATGAAAAACAAGAAAAAGAATTGGAGGAATTCGACGAGGACTCTGTAAAGCTGGGATTTAGGTACGTGATAACACAAGATACCATTCTTTTTTATAATTCTGAATATAAAGTTTGCATCAATGGCAAATCGATTTTCACTAAAAATGTGCTTTCTCACGTTTTGACTTAATGTTTTGTGGCCAATAATAGTTTAAAGAAAATGTTAAGGACAAGCGTTTGTTTCTCTTTATTGTCAATTTTAAATATTTTAATTGTTAGTTTGTCATTTATGATCTTACGAGAAACTTCTAGTTTCTCGTAAGAACTATTAGTTAAGTAAGTAAATTTCATAGACTTTGAAATAATTTTACATAAATCGGTACTGGAAATTCCTTCTGCTCGATTACATATACACTTCATCTAATTTACATAGCGATGCACGTCATTATCTAAGTCAGAGATCGAAGTTGACATAGTTGCCAAAGTATAAAAAAAATCCAGACTTCATTTTAAATCAAATAGATCACATAATTATTGCAAAAGTATTACTATTTCTTTACAACAACTATTTAAATTCTTACGTGAAATTTTTGAAATAAAACACACTAATTTTGTTCTGTAAAGAACAGATTTTATTAAAGAGGTAAAAATATAAAACAAGAGGTATTCACTTTAAATTCAAAATAATAAAGTACAAAAAGTGTCAACACCACAACTGTCAAATAAGTGTTACCAATTTATGCCAAAATTTCACCTTCGTTCGATTACAGTTACAGTGTGTTCCGAACAAATGTTCTTCATAAAAACGCTTTATAATGCATTTATACAAATTAAATGAAACATATTATTGTGTATTTCTTTAAATTAACATTAGTAGAAATTTTTAAATATTATTTCTACGCGTATATAATAAAATATGTCTAGTGGCTGTAATGCCAGTGTACTCGGCAAAGTGATTCTAAAAAAAGAACACACCTACCGCCTAAATATTTCGTGTTGGTATCATGTGACGTCACGGGCTATGACGCCGATGACGTGCATCGGTATGTAAATTAGATGAAGTGTACAGGCAAAATATCAACAAAAATAGCCAAACACAAAAAAGGAAGGAATAACACCAGCTTTCAGAACAAATAATAGCTTAAGCAAATATATTAAAAACAACAAGAGCCAAAATAAAAAAAAACACTTACACAGTGGTGTGTACAAACTTAAATGTGGCGACTGCCCAAAAACTTACATCGGTCAAACGGGTAGAAATTTTAATAAACGAATAGCAGAACATAAAAGGGCTTTCAATAATAGAAAAACAGATTCTACGTACGCACTTCACCTTCTAGATCATAATCATTCTTTTAATGACGAATTTAAAATTCTTCACATTCAAAATAAAGGCCTTAAGCTATCTTTGTTAGAATCTATGGAAATCAACAATTTAAAAAACACAGATATAATTCTGAATGACCAGCTTGAGACAAACAGTTCTTCCCTCCTCAATCTATTTCATTAAAGACTATAAAGTGTAAACGCATGCCAAAAATAGATCACTTGAAAAAGGCAATCAGCCGAAACCGCTGTAGTGATAAGAATTTAAAATAAATTTTGTGGAAGTTTGAAAACAAAGTTTTCAGTGTTTTATTGTTACGTAGCTAGTTTAGTTAGAATAAGTTAAGTTAGATGAACGTTATTATACATTTGCTGTTGGCTAAATGGGCGCTTAAGCTCGGTTGCAAAAAAAAAATAAAAGTTAGGAGTTTGTTTTCTTCCGCTTGACGCTCAGAGTAAAAATGAATTATTTATATTTAATAGCATAAAATTGGGTCAATGTCCAACAAGCCATTTCTCGCTTCATGTACTATAAATCAACCCGTTGAAACGGTCCAAATAATGCATTACTTACCATTATCTCATTTAAAATTATCTCATAAAATGACGGTAGTTCGTCTTTTTAATGATTATGTCATTGAATTTCATAAAAAACTATGCTACCTTCTGTTCCACACGAAAGCAATTTTTGGCCATTGTTTAATTATGTAGTGATTACAATTAAAATGACTGTTTGAAGTTTCTGGATTAAGAGGAGATGTATTTGAAAAGAACTTTCATATAAGGTATTACTTTTCATGTTTTCCTATTTCAAATGATCTTACAAAACGGCACCAGGTCACCATTTTAATTATTATCTCAATGAAACGTCTTAAAAATAATGAAAAAGTTATTAATTAAAGTAATTACTATTTAAATGGGAATAAGCCACAATTAAATGTTAAAATATGTTTTTTGCGTTTCAATTTACACTTCGAAAATCGTTCTCAAAATACAAACATTAGTCTCTCTCTTCAATCCTGACCCCCCAGGGGGAGTGTAGTGGTCGACGTGATGTCGTCTATTGTCCGTCTCCAGAGATCTCTGTCTCTGGTCATTTCTTTTAATTCATGCATAGGTCTTTGGCATATTCCTGTAATTTGATCTATCCATCTTGTTGGGGATCTTCCTCGTGATCTTCGGCCTTCTACCTTTCCTTGTATTATAAGTCTTTCCATGTTTTCTATGTTTGCTCTCATAACATGCCCAAAATATTTTAATTGTTTGAGATGGACTTTACTAGAGAGTCGTTGGCTAACTTTTAGCTCTCTTAAAATTGAATTATTTGTTCTACGGTCGGTCCAAGGAATTTGTAACATTCGTCTCCAACAGAACATTTCAGTGGCGTCTATCTTTCTTCTCTCCGATTGTCTCAGAGTCCAAGATTCACATCCGTAGGTCAGTATTGGAAATATTAAGCAGTTGTTCAACCTCATCTTTATCGCTCTTGAAATTTAACATTCCTTCCATATTTTGGTCATTTTTGCTGTGGCAACTTTTGCTAGATCACATCTACGTTTAATCTCTTCTTGTAATGACCCTGTGTTTGTGATTAATGATCCCAGATATAAGTATGAGCTCACAACCTCGAACCGGTCAATTGTGGTTATGTGTGGATGATTGTTGTGTAGTCTATCCACTATCGTGATCTTTGTCTTTGATATGTTTAATTGCAGACCAAATATTTGACTTTCGTTTTCGATCAGTCGTATAAGTTCCATCAGCTCTGCTTGACTATTTGCAAGAAGGGCTGTGTCATCTGCGAAACGTAGGTTGTTTAGTTTATGACCATTTATTGAGATGCTGTTTTCCCATCCTTCAAGTGCTCTTCGTATAATATACTCTCCATATATGTTGAATAATTGTGGGATAGTATACATCCTTGTCTGACACCCCGTTCTGGATGAAACTCGTTCGAAAGTGCGTCAAGTACTTTAACTGATCCAGTAGTGTGTTTATATAGTTCAGTTATAAGCGTAATTAGATGTTGGGGTACGCCTACTTCTTTTAGTATTCGCCATAAGTGTCTCCACTTGACCATGTCGAACGCTTTACGGTAATCTATAAAACAGATGTATAGTGGGATGTTGAATTCCCTAGATTTCTCGATTATCTGTTTTATATTCAGCAGGTGTTCTCGAGTGATTTATAATAATAAAATTTTTTAATAAAATTTTTTTTTTATTTTGAGAACGATTTCCGAAGTTTGGAAATTTCCGAAGGAAATTGAAACGTCAATAAACGTATTTTTATCTTTAATTGTGGCTTATTCCCAGTTTAATAGTAATTAATTTACAATGCCACAAGAAAATAGCTTCAGAACAATAGTTTTTATGGTAGTTTTTTAATAAATAAATAATAAAATAAATTTTTTAATAAAATGTATTAATTATATATTTGTTTTAACATTTATTTCTTTCTAGTGCATTAATGATAGCAGAGATGTCGCTGCAAATAAATGATATGTCACGCGACAGTTACGACGTCGACGATGCTAGTTTGTCGGGCTCGATGCTTAGTCTGGCGCATTCCAACAGTTCTACCAGTTTCCCACCTACTTCCGTTTAGTAAGCTACGATAGATATTACTGTTAGATTATTGATAACAACGAATTGTCAAAATATAATACCAAATATTTAATTTAATGGTAATTTTTTTTATTTATTTTTTTGTACGTTTATCAGGTTTGATGAATATTAATTATTGATCAAATTAAAAAGCCAGTCAATAAACAAAAGAAAATAATAAATTGGTAATAAAACTCTTGCTATACTAGTCATGTATTTCTTTGTATATGGGTAGAGTAATATTAACTATGAATAATATAAATGTTCTTTATTTAACATTAAGCAAGTACTTTAATTAATGAACACCACGATTACGGATTTTAAATTAATTAACCTGTGGACATAGTTAACTCTTCGTGATTCTATAAATTGGTTCTCTATTACGATCAACCGTTATAAAAATAAAATCAAACTATAAATGTGTTTAAAACCATTATAGAACGCACATGAGCAGCATATCGGCCACATGGAGTATCAATATAAAGAACAGTAAATTTTTATTTATTAAATATTGTAGTACCGATTAGTCAGGAGTAGCGTTGTAAAGTTAAACAAGTATAAAAAGTTAAACAAGTATAAATAATACGAACTGTACAAATTTTATATAATGGGCAAAAACCGATCGTATATATATATATATATATATATATATATATATATATATATATATATATATATATATATATATAAGATGGTGGTATTTTTGACTGTTGATTTAAATATAAGTTGTGATTTTTGAGGATGCAGTCAGTTTATTTGGCCCACAAGACAAAGAAAACTCTTTGACTTACTGTCAAGCTTTCAAATTTTATTTAATTCTTTTTCAAGACATCTATAAAAAGAAATATAAATTAACTAGTTAAAATTGTTAATTGTCTTACTTACTAGTCGTGAGATTACAGTTGTTAATATTATTATACTCTACAAAATAAACCATTATAAATATATTAAAAATTTTTTTTATATTTATTAAAAATAACTATACTGTCACTATATATGTCATTGTCATGGTTTGATTAATGGACATATATGAATGAAAATACAGTTACTTTATGTGGAAAGCAAAACCAGTAACAATAGTTTTTATTATAATTTATTTAATTGTCTATAAAAAATATAAATTAATCCAGTCGGCAGTTTGGCTTAAGCACATATGAATTTTTAATGTTAGTATGTCAATAGAAAATGAGATCTTGACGTTATTTATTGATATGTTAATATGTAACAATAAATGTTACTTAATTTGTCAATATCTGATCTTCTATTTACACATTTTTTATTTTTTTGTATATGTGTCATTTCTAAAAATAACCGTTTCTGTTCATGTTTCTGCCTCTCTAGAATTGAAGCCTGTGAAAAATTAAATGTGTGATTTAGATTGATGGAGTGTTCAGCTAATGCACAAGCTTGTGATTTCTTAGTTTTTACATCACTTTTATGAGAAATAATTCTGCTGTGTAATGTTCGAGAAGTTTCTCCTATATAAACTTTATCACAGTCTGAGCAAGGTATTTGATACACTACTCTAGAACTTTCATCAGTTGTTAAAGGATCTTTAGTTTTAGTGTATAAATGTGCTATGGTTTTAACATTTCTAGTGGCAGTTTTTATGTTTTCTAATCCTTTAAATAATTTGAGAAGTTTTGGTGTTAAGAATGGAATATAAGGTAAAGATCCAAAAGTTTGTGGTGTTATTGGTATTAAGGTGTTAACTGTCAGGCTATTGTTTATTTCTTGATTTGCCATTTTTACTGTGATTTGTTTTTTATTGTTGGTATTGGAATATTGAACTTTTGAATGAAAGCTTGACAGTAAGTCAAAGAGTTTTCTTTGTCTTGTGGGCCAAATAAACTGACTGCATCCTCAATATAAAAAAGTCAATAAAAGGGGCTATTTGTTGACTGTTTTTTTTTTACTCGAGCTTTCAATTGTGATTACAATTTTTATCAAGAGCTTCTAAAAAATACAAAATATCTTACAAAGTTGAACTAGAAGTAAAAAGTTTTGTTGTTAACTCACCAAATAAAATTAGTTTTTTATATATCTTAAGGCCTATCCTCGATCATCCTAACGGTAAAATTCAGTGAGCTATCTATTTCAAAAATATCTTTCTTTACGAAAACAAAATCCATTCACGAAGAATATTCTAAACGTCATCTGGTACTAAATTTTATATTTTTACCTACTTACAACCCCCTATTGTGAAGTCTTGGGTGTATACAATAAAGCGAGCGGGAGGTCTTCTATTCATTGCGATTATGGGGTAATTAGAATAATACGAGTATACCAGAGTAATATTATTAATATTAATATTATTTATTGAATAATTAATTCACAACTTAGCAAGGGTACATACAGAAATATTCTTAAGTTAAAGTTGGTTTCATGTAATCGAATGAACTATCTTATAAGTAAAGTCGTCCCAGGAGCGCAACTCAACAATATTGGCAATATCATTTTAAAGTCGTCTACTTTAAAATGCATAATGTATGTCTGAATTGTCAATATAAATGAGTCAGATAAAATTAAATTGATAGAAGAATTTTTCACTATGTAACAAAAAACAAAATTTGTTTAATTTACTGTTTGTATTTTGAGAACGATTTCCGAAGTGGAAATTGAAACGTCAATAAACGTATTTTTATCTTTAATTGTGGCTTATTCCCAGTTAAATAGTAATTAATTTACAATGCCACAAGAAAATAGCTTCAGAACAATATTGAATTTTAGTTCACATAAATTATTTCAGGCGTTTTTAAACTTACATCCAGTAACCCAGATTTTCAGTTGAGAGGTTTTATTATATGTATATATATTGGAAGGGTCAAAGTTGTTGCATTGTACGTAACCGATAAAAATGAATTTTTTGGGTAAATATTACAATATTTTGTATAACTGCAAATGCGTATTTTAAAAGCTTAGTTGATCTTATATCTAGTTTTCCCTACTGCAAATTATAACGATAGGGGCGCTGTTGATTTATGTTGAACTTATGCAGTCATATCTTATACAATTTTCTCCCGAATTGAGTGTGTGCGGACTCTACAGGATTGGTATTCATACAATACTATTGAATTAAACAGAAAGGCATTATTTTTTCTGTATTTTCATCAATTTTAATGGAAGGGTATCAAAGATAAACTGAAGACAAAGCTAGCCTGCAACGCGACTGGTTTGAGAAGGATGGAGAGTGTCAGATTACTTTAAGCAAGTTTTGAAGCTCGCTATACTGTTATTATGTTGATTTAAAATACAATTTGCACTGCGGAAAAATGAAAAAGTGTATTTAATTATATGTATATGTATAATAATCACACTGCTGACACTCGCCATGCCAATCCAGGGGCATTGCGCGCTAGATTTCTTTTACTTTATATTTGATACCTCGCGTTTTTAACAACTAACAACAATAATTTGCGATTATGCCAACCTTAATGCGATTATGTATCAACCCTACATCATCAAAAATTAGCTTTAATTTGATATAAAAAATATGCATATACGTCATTAGCGGCGTATTTATTTAAAACATAAATGAACGACATTTTTTTCAAAAATTAATATTACCATTAATTAAATTAAAACTATTTGCGGTCACTTTTTAACTGACAACCTGTTATCAATGTATTCTCCTATTCTTAAATGTATGTAAAAATGTGAGTTTGATTAACTACGTTATGGATGTTGTGATTTTGCGGTGGGATTTTAGACAGATATTTTAAGTAAAAGAAAATCCTTGATGTAGCATAGTGTATCATCAATTAAAATTTTATATATATATATATATATATATATATATATATATATATATATATATACAACAACGAACAGAACAAGGGCCTCTAGTATTTCTTGTAAAGAAAGATAACATCAATTTACACCTAATTACATATTAATTACACTGTTTTTTCTTTCCATTCTCTGTATGAGTTAATATACACCAATAAAACATGCCATCAATCAAGTTTTACTATTTTTACAACAAATTTTAAAAATTTTATGATGTATTATGTCCATAATTGTATATTTTAATGTGTGGTATAAATGTTGAGTGTTCAATGCTTACAAAAATAATCTCAACGACTAGTAAGTTACACTGAAGAATTGTGATATTTTTTAAATATTTACATAATTGTCTTTTACAGTGTCTTGAAAAAGGAATAATACCATTCCGAAAGCTCGACAAAAAGTCAAAAGAGTGTTTTTTTTTAACATCCTGGCCAATATTCTGACTGCAACCCTAATAAACTGTGTTGTTTGTATATATATATAATGTGTGTGTGTGTGTATAATGACGTTTAACCCTATCACTTCTACATTTTGATTTAAGACACGCCCAGAAGCGGCTATATTGAAAAGGTCTTTTTTTTATGAAGGGATGTAAAATATTACTCAGATGTTACTTTTGACATGTGTCACGGATCTGTGCCATGCGCAAAACATTTTCTATGAAGTGCTCGTCGTCACGGATCCGTTACAAATACATTGTTATGAGTGGTTTAAACCAAAATTTATGTAGAAGAAACTTTAAAGGATGCTAAGAAAAATCTTTTTATTAATAATCAGTAAATAAAATATTTGAACTCTCAAGACTAAAATAAAAAAAATAACAAGAATAATGCACTTTTCCCAATAAAATAACAAAAACAGGAAAATATTTGTGTTGCAACAAAGTACAAAATAAAATAAACTAATACAATAAAAAGATAATCATTTTTCCAATAAACAAAACAAAAAAGAATAAAATAAAAATAGTAAAAATGTTATTTATGGGTAACATCTAAACACTCTCCCACACGATATCCAGGTTGTTCAGGACGTCCTTCAGAATGGTACAATGTAATTTTCCGAATTTTCTTTTGGGAACAAAATCTATAACGTTTTCTGTTTGTTTCACCTTTTTTGTTCACATATTTAATTTTTGTTTTAAGAGCAAAAAGGCATTAAGGAGCATAAGTTGTATGAAATGGATATCTAATTTTTTGTACTACCTTAACGTTTTTCTGTCACAGGGATAATTTGCATTAATTTGGTCCTGGTGGTCTACTCCGCCCATCGGCTTATTGTAATGAAAAATTGGTCTAGGTTTTGTTTTGGTACAGTGTCTTCTATCTGCAAACTCGACCATTTCGTTTTCATCTTCATTAGATAAATATAGAACATCTCTTTTGTCTCTCCATTTGCCGACCAACAGGTTGTGAGAATACACTGCACATGTTTCACCCTTTTTAAGTTTTTTTAGAAATAAGATTCGTGGGATTATTAATTCTTTTTGAATTCAGCGCAGCAGAGCAATAAGTCTTACGTTTACTTAGCCAGTTGACTATAGAA